TATATATATATATATATATATATATATATAGAACTATACCTTAGAATAATGGATGATGGCACGTGATAACGTGGCACGTTTCTTTTTTTAACTTCTGTCATAAATAAAAAACAGTTCTATGATTTTTACTGTCTTGGAAGTAATGCACGATTAATAATTTAATAATGACATGTGATATGTTATTTACCTTATAATATTATGCAAATTCCAAATTCATTTTGATCTTTCATTTTAAAAAAACATGGCTTGAAACACTAACTGTAATTGTCTTAAATTTGAGTACAAAATAAGTTTGATAACTGGGTGATTTGCAAAAAAAGGAAAAGAATTAGCACTCATTTTCTTAGAGTATATCTCAGATACTCGTATATCTCATCTATTGATCTTTCTTTCATGGTTTCTTGATTTCCTTCTTCTAAAAGATAATCAACGTAGTTCAATTGTTTCATTGTATTTTATTTTATTCTATTATTTCTTCGATCATATTTTAGCTATGTAAAAATGGTCACGTTTCCATTTCCATATTAGTCTTTACGTAAGAAAAGTAATACAAAACGCATATTTAAAAATTGACGAAATTCAAAGTATAATTTAAAAAGGGGAGAGCAGTTAATGTTTCAATATTTTGGTTTCTATTAGTTAGAAATTTTAAATAATATGATTTAAATAAGAAGAAGGAAAAAAGCAAAAACAAGGAAAATGAATTAGTAAACCAATTAAAAACTCAACTCATCAATAATACTTTATTTACCTAAGTGCAACTACAGGTGGACAACTAATTATGACGAGTTGTTGAAAATGGTTTTGTTTCTAAAATACAAGTTGCAATTTTTTTCCTTTAAAGTCATTCATTTGTTTTCCCGTTAAATAATTAATTAGGTTTGTCTTGTTTGAACTGAGAATAGCACAAAACAAAAAGAAATTAAAATTATGCTTATTTAATTTAATCAGAAACACAACTAGGTAAATGCGTACAGTGCTCGGAAAGAGCGAATACATTTATAACTTTTGATCTAATGATCAGATATAAATTTCTTAAGTCTCAATTTTTGTATTTCAAAGACATAAACTTTAATATGATAATTATTTAGGGCACTGTTTTCCAAAGTGTGGTACGCGTACCCCCAGGGTTGTGGGAACAGTTTAGAGGGGGCACGCGTTCTTATGCGAAATATCCTGCAACAAACAAAAAGTTTAAAAATTTTATTCAAAAACAAAGCTAGCCATGAAAATTTACGATTACGTATTTTTCTATTAGCTATTTTTTGCAGAGTTAACAGTTAATATTTAGTGGTGTCAACAGCTAGTTGTGATTTTTAATTTTTGTGCAATTTTTTTTATAGTAAAAAATCATTCATTTTTTTTATCAGTGGCACACAGCGTTACGAAAAATTTAGACGGGGTACACAAAAGTTATAAGTTTGGGAAACACTGATTTAGGGCAAACGATGTTATAAGTTGCGACTCCATACGCGAAATTTACTTTCTCTAAAAAAACATGTATTTTTTCTTGTTTGATACCTGTCCCTTGAAATATAGGAAGTGATTAAAATCTGGAAAGTATATGATCCCAGAAGTTTAGCCCCTTGAAATAGAAATTGTATTAAACACATTTTTCATATGCATTAATTTCTTATTTTGCATTAATTTATGCCAAAATAAATGAAAAATATTATACTTAGCATTTTAATGATTTATGGTTATGAAATATGATACAACATGAATCGGTGTCTCTCTTTGTGTTAAAACTGAAATATCCCAAATACGGATTACTTCTAACAATAATTTTTCAAATTTGCACTTATTTGCCGTAATTTAGATTTAAGAGAAACAGTTATTCATGATTGAAATCTCCCTAATTTGAAAAATCAGGGATAGATAAATTTTTCAATATGAATGAAAAAAAAATTCAAACTATTTTTTTTTTGGATTTTATGTTTTAACACATATATAATTTTCCTAATTTAACAGATTTTTTAGCAATTATTTTACTGTTTTATTTATGTTTATTATGTTGCTCCTAGAATATAGTATTTAACATTCAAATTTTAGGGATCCTTACTTAATATAAATACCTGTGAACTCATTGTAATAACAAAAAAAGTTTTTATTTAACTTATAGTTCAAAATATTCATATTAAAGTGTAAATAAAACCAAGTGATAAGTATGAA